ATCTGTGGGGGCTAAAGATGACATTATTCTTCACATGGCACCCATTAGGCCCGAGACTTCTCACAAAAGCCCAGGATCCCAGAAACAGTGGCATGATACTTTCAAAATGATCAAGAAAATATTTGTCTGCCAGTATGTAAGACAACAGGTGTAAGAGATGGAGCTATTCCCTGGCACCCTAGGCCCTTCTCTCTAACAAAAAGCCTTGTTTGCAGTCATATACCCCAGAAGAATGTCCACATCACCTCTGATGGAGAAGCGGGGTAAAAGCACTGACAAAAGTTAAAGGACACCTTCTAGAGCAGTCTCAGAGCAGGAATTGGGCAGCTGATCTTGTTGATTGGCTGTCGGGTCATAGTATGGCAAAGCCGAACAGGCACTAAAGGCATTTGGAGAAGGTGGCAGGGTAGCTGTCAGGGTTTGGAGGTCAGATGGTGACAACATTGAGAGCCTCATTAGTATAGGATAGCATTGATGTAGGTGACAGTGGCATGTTTTCTGAGGAAGAAGCATGATGAGCTTAAGGCCTGAAACTAGGGTAGTACCAACTTTACCAGGACTTAATATCCAATGGGAGTGAAAACAAAATATAGGACTGATATCATAAAATGGGACATGGGAGCAAAAGGTGCAGTGATGTATTATTTAAAATTTATTAAAGCTTGGCTGAGGATGCAGAAAGCAAAGTCAGCTAGAAGCCATAGAGGGTACCTACAAACCTTTAATACCAGGAGACAGAATCTAGGAGTTGGTGGTACACAACTTTAATCTAGGACTCTGGATTAAGAGACAGACAGATCTCTATGAGTCAAGGGCACACAGATTTACACAAGTGTGAATTAGTTTCAGTGAGAATTAGAAGTCACACCATAATTTAGAAAAATTCAATAATGGACTGAACCTCTGAACTGTAAAAAAGCCTTCATTCAGTGTTTTCTTTTATAAGAGTTGCAGTGCTCATGGTTTCCTCTTCACAGCAATAGAACACTGACTGAGACAGAAGCCAAGATAGGAACTCAGGGAACCTGCATGAAGGAACTGAAGCAGAGGTCCTGAAGAAATGCCTCTACCTTGCTGGCTTTCCTTGGCTTACTCAGCCTGCTTTCATTAATTTTCTCTTAAACATGTTATTATTTATGTATTTTATGTAGATGAGTATTTCATCTGCTTGTATGTCTGTACCCCAGAAGGGGGAATCTGATCCCATTATAGATGATTATAGGCCATTATGGGTGTGCTGAGCAATGAACTCAAGATCTCTTTGAGATTAGCCAGTGCTCATAACTACACAGCCATCTCTCCAGCCCCTCTACCAGCTTTCTTATAGAACCATGGGCTGCCTACCCAGAAGTGACTTAAACAACAGTGGGTTGTAGTCTTCTCTGTCAAAAAAGAAATTCCTCCAGAGATTTGCTGGAAGGCCAATCTGATGGGGACAATTCCTCATTTGTGTATCCTTCTCAGATGACTCCAGTTGGTATTGATTAAAAAGCAACCAGCACACAGATCTGGGATTTGTCAGTACTCTTCTTTCTTCTTGGTAATGCCAGTTGCTTTCCCAACTGTTCTTGGGCTTGTTTGTGCATGAGAGCCTAGTGGAGATCTTTTTAATTCCTTAATGGGATTGGCTGGAGAGATGGATCATCAGTTAAGATATTTGCTGCTCTTTCAGAGGAAACCATTTCAATCATCAGTAACCACAGTTCAGGTCACCCCTGCTGCAGCTCCAGTTCCTGGGACCAGACCTGTCTCCTGACCTCTTTAGATGCCAGGCATGGGTAATGCACATACATACATTCATACATAGTTACCTACATACATACATTCTTACACATGTGGTGAACCTACACACATACACATGTGGTACACATACAAATATACACATGTGTTGCACATATATACGCATATGGGACACATACATATATACACATGTGGAGCACATTAATGCACATATAGTACATGTACATATATACACATGTGGTGCACATACATACAATATAGTACACATAATTATATATACATGTGGTACACATACATATGTACACATATTGTGCTTGTACATTAGTACACACATAAACATACACTGGTGGTACACATACACACCTGTGGTGCACATTCATACATTCACTTGTGGTATACACACATACTTACACATGTGGTAAGAACAGGCACACACGTAAAAATTAGTCTAATTTTTTAAGAAAATGAAAATAACTTATATTACTTTATATGAGAGAATGTTTGACTGTGTGTATGTCTGTGCCTATGGAGGTCATGGGATCCCATGGAACTGGTGTTATGCCCACAATGTAGTTGCTGGGAACCAAACTCAGGTCCTCAGGAAGAGCAGTCAGTGGTCTTAACTGCAGTGGTGTCTCCTCA